TTGACCTATAGCGGTGCGTAAGCTACTTCAAAATCTGAGCCAAATCGGTCAAAAAACGACAGTGGTAGATAACCTTTTCAAACGACCAAAATTTTCCTCTGGCCTATACCGCTCGGTCAATCATAAGCTCTTTCAAATTACGTATTTCTTACCAAAATCTAGAAATCGAGAAAGGTCTAGGGACACTTTTGAAACCGAGTACAGTATGGTGACCGTGCGGACCCCTTATATGATCGACACTGCGTGTGGGTTGCCGAGAGGCCCGGGGAGACAACCACACGATAAGACGAGAAGCTCGAGTTCAAGTGATTTATTGAGTGAAAAGCGGCCCTTATATAGGGAAATCCCACGTAGGAAAGTACAATCAAATTTGAATAATAAATGATGATTTCCGTGGGAATTTGGGCATGAAGTTCGGTCGTTCCGCCTCACATAGACATGTCGAGACTTTGGCCCGCCTGTCAGACTCTTTTAGGCTGTCGTGAAAATAATGAGCACTCTGTAGCGGCAAAAATCGCGTCACCGCCGAAAAAATGAATTGTCTCGCAGCAAGATCAAATGGCTTTTCTTTTGAGCGACAAGAACGGCACAAGACAGACCAAAAACAAGGGATCTCCAAGTGCAACGCTTAGATTTTCTTTAAGTTTTTTAACGCATACGTAGAGTTCATTATTTTTCCGACAGACTGAAAATATGGGATATGTAAAGAATATGAAGATTTAAAGAAAATTTCAGCGTCGCAACGTCAGCAGTGCACTTGTCAATGCGAAAGAATATCTTCCTCGCCCTCTACTAGTCCCTAAAAAACTTGAACTGCTCTAAAAATAGCTGTTTCTCCAAGTAAGACAACAAATTTTAATGTCTTCGGCATCTGTTTTCAATCACTTTAGCGCTTCCTCCATTCCTCAACCAGCCAAAAACACACGTAAACCCAAAAAAAAACAAGTAAATAAACTAGAGACCTCTAAACATTTGGGTTTGATTATTTGAGACAATCGCCCACAGAAACTGGTCAACAATCGCGCGCAGAGCGGCGTGTGTGTTTGTTTACACGCGCGCAACACTCGGATATTGTGTTAATAGATCGTCTGTAACGTTGCGGGGAGACAAGGGGTTTCGACCGCCGCTGAACAAGTGCGTTCCTTTTGGCGCACAAGGAACTGGAAAACAATAGGGGCGAATTAATTAATACCGCAGGGAAGAGGAGGGATATTAATGGAAGGATCAGTGTTTGCATAATCTTATTGGTCATGAAGTGTTGTAATGGAGAAGAGGCAGTAAAAATTAGGATAATGGGATGGATTATGGAAGAAAATGAAAAATAGCAGTCTGTCGGGAAAATAATGAGCGCTCGGTCGCATCAAAAATCGCATAGAAAAAAATGTTTTGCGAAAAAATCGAATTGCTTTTCACTTTAGCGACACGATCGGCACAACGACATTGGGCCCATTATTTTCCCGACGGACTGATATTTAACAAATTTTGTGAAAACATTTCAATCTACCATAGAAATAGGTCTGAAACTCTTCATAAAAATGAAAAATTTTCCACCTCTCGACCTAAAAATCTCGGTTTTTTATGCAAAGCGCGAGCTAAAAATCTCGTAAATATCATTAAAAAACTCTAAATTTGTACCAAGTTTCACCAAGATCTGAGCACTTGGAGGACTTGTAAAATAAGAAAACGCTCGCTGCCATTGTTTTTTCTCGGTATTTTGACCACTGACCTTGCCATCTGACGCCTTCGAAATGGCCTTCAAACCGGGGTAAAAACGCCTAAAAATTTTTGCGAACAGGCGTTTGATGCCATTAAAAATGGAAAATAAATTACCGATTTCCACCATATTTACAGTAAATTCTACTCCAGGTGTTTGAGAAATACGTATCAGCCTGCAGGGAACATAATGAGCGCAATGTCGCTCATAAAGCCTTTATCTTCCGAATTTTGCGTGAATCTCATCGACACTCGTTGATTACCTCGGCTGTGCATTTTCCACACTGTACACGTACTATCAGCCTGTCGGAAAAATAATGAACATCGCTGAAGTGAAAATTTGACTTGTTGAAAATTTGACGCGGCACGATTCTTTTTCTCGGCGGCGACGCGATTTTCGATGTGACAGAGTCCACATTATTTTCCCGACAAATTGATACTTTGGTGACTATCAAGTGCAAATATCATAAAACTGCATCAAAGTCATATGAAACTCCTATAAAAAATCGCCCTCAAATATGCGAGCCTCACCCCGCTCTTCCCGGTGAAACATCCGAATCAAGATGGTCGTTGAGCCGTGTTTCGTAATGCAAAGCGAATCTTTTTCGCATAAAAATCCGACCATATGTCGTAAAGTCGTCGCAAAACTGATTTCTGACTTGTTTTGCAAATTAAAAGAACAATCAAGAAAAGGAAAAGTGAGGTAAGCCTATTAGAGGTGAGCGGTAAATAAGCAAAAAAGTGAGTTTATTGGGAGGAAATAATTGGATTAATTGGCCAGGTTAGAAAACACTGTTCTATATATAATTATATTATATAAGGGAAGCGCCCAAAGTGCGACGCTCTGATTCTGGTGAAACTTGGCACAAATTGAGATCGGTTTTTTCTCAAGATATATGCTACAGTGGGACCTGATCCAGCGGCAAAAAAGTACCATTTTCCATCCGAGAAGTATCAAAAATGTGGCAAAATACCTCCCTCTCCAAGTGAAAAAACTCCGATTTCAAAAGCCCGCTCTTTTTGTGAGGAAAAGGCACCCTGCAAAACGAAGTTTTTTCACTTGGAAGGGAGGCATTTTGCTACATTTTTTACACTTCCCGGATGCAAAATTATACGTTTTTTGCCACTGGATCAGGTTCTTCATTGTAACTCCTGGCTGTGGCATGGCAGAACCAACCGAGATTTCGGAAAAAATTGCTACTTTTTTAAAGGCGAATTTTGGCATGAATATTTTGTTCAAAAAAGATGCGTTTTTCTCGGTTCTGGGGCCTGTTTCACGAACGCAAAATAAAGAAAATAGAAATATGAGTGAGCGAGGGAACAGAGGAAATGCATGCGAAACGGGAGAGACGGCAGGAAAATGAGGATTGCGCCAATTCTCAATTGGAGTGACTTTTTACGTCCAAAATTACGGGTTGGCGGTAGTATTTGAGCCATAACTTTCCTCTACTTGGGCCTACAAGCACCCTCCAAAAATTCAAATAATGCTGAGACTTCGGGCTATGTAGATCTATAAAAATTTTTGCTCTACCGCCAATGACAAAGTTACCATAGGCGTTGTAGTGTTGAATTCTTCTACTTTATAACGCTAAAAGGCCTTTTTTCGCGTTAATTGAAACAGTAAAAAATTCTAATTTATGTCAGTCGATAGACAATTTAATTCTCTACAAAAAATTTTTAGAGGGCCAACTGTAAGTCATTTTTTGACTGAGTAATAACTGATTTACTTTGACAATCCCTCGATTTTCATCACAAAAAATCTTTCGAAAGAGCCCTCAAATCAAAAGAAGAGAGAAATTTTACGGTAAAAAATGGGATGCGGCTGGACAAAATCACCCATAACTTTATCAGTTGGCGAGATATAGACGCCCCTCTAAAAAAATGAGGTAGCCAAGACAATTTTCTTTACAATTATATAAAATTTTATACTAATATTTTATTATTTGGAACAAAAACCTATTTTTATTCTGAAAAAATGGAAAAATGTTGCAAACTGCTGCACTACTATAAATTTGTTCGTGCCGTAGATCTCCAAACATCCTAAAAAATTGCATTACTGTAAACCGCGGACTCAGGTCTACATGATTTTTTTTAAATGGTGTCGATCCGACAATTTTGGACGATGTTATGAGGGAATTAAGCTAGAATTGCAAAAATTTTATAGAAAATAGAAATATGCGCATTACTACTGCAATTTTCGAGCGAGTTTTTGCAACAATGCAACGAAACTTGCACACATGACAGTCCAAACAGTTAGCATTATTCGAAATTTTGAAGGGTGATTCTACGCCCATGGAGGGAAAAGTTATGGCCGAAACACTGCCGCCAACCCTGATTTTGGACGTAAAAAGTCACTCCGATTGAGAAGTGGCGAAATCCTCATTTTTCTGCCGTCTCTCCCGTTTCGCATGCATTTCCTCTGTTCCCTCGCTCACTCATATTTCTATTTTCTTTAGAAATATGAGTTTTTGCGTTCGTGAAACAGGCCCCTGTACATAAAAAAGACCGTAATGAATGGGTTCATCCCTATTTCTATCGTAGAGTATAAGAAAGTGGGAATGATATGGCCAAAGGGTGCCTTTATTTGACCACTCTCCGCGTCTCCTCTTTTCTTCGCACATCAAACTGAGGAGTCTGGTGACCGGAATAGACCCCTCGCTATCGGTTTTTTACACTTCGTCTTGATTTCACAGAGAAGTCAGAGAAAAGACGCGCAAAAACGTACTCTCTCGCCCTAAAAGTTACCCATTTCTTTTCCGACTAAAAGTTTTTTCGCGTCTTTTCGCGAATTGCCGATGCGTTCACCGGATGGTTTTAGCTTGTCTCAGTTTGACGTGTAGCGTACTCTTTCGGTCGAATCTTCTAAAAAAACTCAATTTTTTCGAACAAAATGCATAAAGAGGTGGGCAAAAAAAAATGATCCTTATCTTCTGCACTCTCTCGGTTTCAAAGATCGTTGAATATCTCGGCTAACTTTGCAAAAACACAGATTTAAATGCCGGAAATTTCTATGTCAACGAGATAGACACTGCATACAAAAAAATTTTTTAAAAATCAAAAATTTCCGACCCTTTCTTATCATCAACACAACACCACTGCTCCATTCCGACTTAGCGGACCGCGAAAAGCGCATTCTCTTGACCTCGGCTTACGCGGTTGGGCAAACAAAGCGGGTTTGTATTGTAAAAGTCAGTCACTTTTACTAGTTCGAATAGCGTAAAGTTTCTTTTTCGTTGGTTATGAGAACAAACGGTCTAGTTTTGATTTTCATATTCATTTATTTACAATTAGAAGTCAATCTTCTCTAAAGGATTTACAATTTTTGTTGAACGCAGCGTCCGAACAAGGCATATCACCATGAAGATGAGCACACCGACCAGCAGGAAGGCTTGGGCTATTGCGACAACTGAAAAAAAAATATAAGATATGTTAAAGTTGCAAAAATTGGGAGTATCAGTCCGTCGGGAAAATAATGTGGAATGTTCGCTGAAAAATGTTTCGCCGGGCACTAAATTGGCCCAACGACATTGTTTTTTCAATATCTTCTCGGCAGACTAATATCTTACATTCTATCTCCATCTGTCGGGAAAATAATGGGGATTTGTCGCAAGAAAAAAAATCTAGTCTCGTCGTAGTCGCACATCAAATCTCCAGCTGCAGCTAGATAGAAATGGCAAAGCGATGATGAGCAACTTAGAGACGAATCCACATTATTTTCCAGGCAGACTGTTATAAAATAGAGATACAGTAAAAGCTCTGTATAGCGAACCGCAAAGGCCTTGAAAGTACACAGCTCTGTTGAAGAAAGGCTTTGTTGAAGTTACTATTATGACTAGCAGTGGAAGTACCCCAAGTTCGACGCTCAGATTTTGATGAAACTTGGCACAAATTTAGAATAATTTTTTCCAAAGTAAATATATGCGATAATCTTAGCTCGCGCTTTGCAGAAACAATCGGGTTTTAGATCGAAAGTCGGCGAAAATTTAAGACTTTTTGCCGAATTCCGGCACGAAAAGTTTCATGCCTATTTCTACCTAGAGGTGGCAATCGGGCCGGGCCGGGCCGATTTTTGCGGCCCGGCCCGCGGGCCGAAGTGACCAGGCCGGCCCAGGGCTTTTTCAAATTTGCTCAGGCCCGGCCCGGCCCGGCCCGATGAAAGCCCAGGCCGGCCCGGCCCGGCCCGGTTTGGCCCGCTAATACAGAAAAGTTGGATAAATGTCTTTGCACTTTCTATTGGAAGTTGTTATGCTTTCCAGAAGGTTTTTACGTGTGTCTGCGTGAAATTAAAAAGTCTAGTCGGATGACTGGAACATCCGTATAGGTAGCTAAAACCTAGCCAAAAAGTTGGATTGTGTTGAATTTTTTAATCCTATAGGAAGTTAGCTATATAAAAGTATGGACGTTATAAGGTACATGGTTAACCAAAAACTGTTTAAACACTTTCATTTACATCAAGGAATCAAAATTACAGTGAAATTTTTAAATTTACCTCATAGAAAATTCGAAGATTTTTGCCCGACCCTTGCATATTTGGGTGGGATTTTACATATACATAATAAGTTACACATACATATACATAATTTTAAAAGGTAGTAAAACAGCGTATAAGTCAAAAAAGGTTTAATCTAATTTCCATCCATTGTTCTACAAAGCATTTGTGCTCGTTGCGCCTATACAAAAAATCATTTTTTTCCGCACGAAACTAGCAAAGTTATAGCCAAAAAACGCTTTTTTCTTTGACCGCTCTCCGCTTTTAGCGTACTCTCTCGGCGGCAAAGAGGCTTCAATATCTCGGTGGCGCTTGCAAAGCGCGAGCTAAAACTTTCAGGAATTGGTACTTAGTGCATGACCGACGTGTGTGCAAAATTTAAAGAAAATCTGAGCGTCGCACTTGGAGTACTTCCCTTGTAAGATGTATTATACTAGGTGGGACTAGGATTTGTATATCAGTCTGTCGGGAAAATAATGAGCCTCTGTCGCTTCGAAAATCGTACAGCCGCCAAGAAAATGACATGTGTCGCGGTAAAATCAAATTGCTTCTCACAGCTGCAACGCGATTGGCGCAACACAATTGTGCTCATTATTTTTCCAACAGACTGATATCACACTGCTTGTTATAGAAAGGCTTTGCTGCTCTAGATTTTTTGCGCAAAATTTCCACAGTCATATGAAGATGATATACTTACAGAGTAATATCGAGAATGTCTGATTGCCCTGATAATCCGCCATCTTCAGCCCGCACTCCCTCTCCCAATCCTCGGGAATGAACGGTTGCAGAAAGGCCAAGAACGTCTGTAAATGGCAGTCACCGTGGCATTGCGGTAGCTTAATCTCTTGAAATGTGTCGGCAGTGAAGTTGCGGAAGTACATCTGGAAAGACATAGCATGTATTATAAAGTGTCAAACGCAACCTTGTGCCGGAAATCTTTGGCCATGTGCATCAAGTCTAGTTCGCAAAAAAACGTGGAAGAGAATGAAACAGCACAAGATGTACGTTTCTTCTATTTTAGATCTTTAAATAGCAAATTTGAATATACCAGAAATACGTTTAATTATGTCAATAGGACGCGTAAACACGCGACGCTTGATTTTTTCCCACCGGATAATAGAAACAGTAATTGAAACACGCAAAATACAAATAAGTGTCTACCTAAAAATGCATCTAATTTTGGAATTAGGTATTGCGTGGGGGCGGGAATGTTGCCACACATACACCATACATATGGGTGGTGTTTGTAATACGACGGTCAACTTCTTTTTTACTTGCTAAGCTGTAAACAGGGCACTTCAATAGTTGATAGACCGCTCAATAATCGCTGGAAAATTGCATGAGCAGTCTAAAATAAAGCCACAAATCAAATCATAATTAGGAAAAAGTTCCGTATTCCGGCCACAACAAAGGTACTCTGCGAGCTGCGCCCAAGCTTGGGAACTAAAGTTAGGAAAAAATGCTTCAACCTACCTGGCACTGATTAACTATAGTAGCCGTATAGTTTTAAGGGTACCTGCAAATGCTATGCCGACTCTTTTAGCTCTACACGGAGGCAACAAGTTTAGTTCCTGACAGTTTTCATCGTATAAAGTGTAACCGTTTTTGAAGGGTAAGTTGGTACGTAAAAAAGAAGGTACCTCACGAACTAAATCCACTGCCCGGGCATTTACAACGATGAATTGAGCTCGGACGCCAAATTTGGGCCAATTCTGACCAGTTTTCGCAAATTTATAAGTTGTGGCCAGAATAAGGAACTTTTACCATAATTATCTTCGCTTTTGTGTATGTGTGGTCATTGCCAATAAACTTTGTTCCTAATTTGTCTCTCTTCTACAGAGCGGTGGTCCAAAGACGTCCGCATTCCTAAGAGTGTCAATACCAGTCTTTCTAGAAAATAATGGGTCTAGATTTTTCTCCCAGAATTAAAAATATTTTTCCCCAGAAAAGAGCATTACAGAAAAACTCCTATTTTCTCCCAGAAAAAATATATTTTCTCCCAGAAAGAAAATATTTTTCCCCAGAAAAGAGAATTATGAAAAAAATGCTATTTTCTCCCAGAAAGCATAATTTTGTAAAAATAAAACACGGAATTAGTAAAAATTGATGAATAAGTAACTTTACTAGTAAAATAAATTAAGTAGTAGTGTAAAACAATATTTGCAGTAAGTTTTTGAGGAAATACTGGAAATCGATGTAATCGACGGTGCTGATTTCGAAAATGATTCCCATTTTTTATGATTTTTACTTTTTTGTGCTCAAAGAGTGCATTGAAGTGTACATCGACAGCATTTACAATAAGAGAATCCTTATACTCATCGGGGAAAAAAAGACATTCAAGAATAAAACATGAGAGATATTCAGAAATTACTACCTTCTAAACGATAGTGATGTCGAAGACGTAGAGAGACCCTAAAGGTTTAATTCAGCACGACAAGTCAATATGTCAGTTATTTTGAATCCAATATTATGACTTATCTGGGGCCCATGCATCGTATTTTACATTACTACTTACAATAAAGTTGGAAATCCCACGTTTTTCCAATCTTTTTCAGATTTTCAACTTCCAGATGATATTACTTTAGACGACTTCTGAATTGAGTTTAAAAACAAGTAAGATAACGATCTATACAAAGACATGTATGAATGAATTCTTTAATGGTTTATTCTTGGATATCTTTTGTTCCCAATGGAAATAAGGATGGGTTTCTCTTATTGTAAATCTGAATGTTGTTCCTGGCGCAGAAGACGACACAGACAGGATGTCAATGCACTCTTTGAGCACAAAAAAGTAAAAATCACAAAAAATGAGAATTATTTTCGAAATCAGCACCGTCGATTACATCGATTTCCAGTATTTCCTCAAAAACTTATTGCAAATATTGTTTTACACTACTACTTAATTTATTTTACTAGTAAAGTTACTTATTCATCAATTTTTACTAATTCCGTGTTTTATTTTTACAAAATTATGCTTTCTGGGAGAAAATATTTTCTTTTCTGGGAGAAAATAGCATTTTTTTCATAATTCTCTTTTCTGGGGAAAAATATTTTCTTTCTGGGAGAAAATATATTTTTTCTGGGAGAAAATAGGAGTTTTTCTGTAATGCTCTTTTCTGGGGAAAAATATTTTTAATTCTGGGCGAAAATATTTTTCCCGAAAATAATAGGGCTGATTTCCGGCGTTTGTACTATGCGAAAAAAATCAGGGTGAAAGCAACAGCCAGCCAAATGCAACTATTTGTGCCAAAATTCGTGCAAAACTGGCACATTTGTTCTCACTTTAGTCTATTATCAGTCATAACTTACTTTCACAAAGTGCTCGTCATCGTGTCGTCGATGCAGCTCAAAGACCAAAGCACTGGAGGGCTCCGGGAACCGCTCAAAATTCAACCCCAGAATCTTCAGCAGAAACGCCAACGTGTGATCGTGCGCCGAGTACCCATAAAACTTCTCCGCCGCCAAATAACTCCCCTTGGCGATGCTGCGCAGCCTCTCCGACATCTCCTTCAAAATGGGGCCGGCTCTGAGCCGCAAAAGCTTCGGCGTCATCATGAGGCCCTGATTGATTTTCCCATTGATATACTCCAAATTTTCGCGTGCGTCCGCGGTCGCCCACGACGGCAGTTGACGCTCGTCCGCTTCGAGGTAATAGAGGTAGTCCCAGACTTTGTAGGCCGCCTGATAATCCAGCTCGTTTTCGCCGGTTTGATTTTGAATGTAGCGCATAAATGAGGCGGTTTTTTGCCCTAGGGCGGGAAATCCGTAATCGGCAACGTTGAAGACCCGGGCTTGCTCCTCTTCTCTCGCTGGGCATTCAATGTTGAAGTTGAGGAGCTGAAAAAATCAAGTGAAAACATGGTGATCTTAAGCAATGGAGAAGCGAGAGAACTTTTAAAAAAAAATTTTTTTAATAAAGGGAATAAATGAAAAACCAATTAGTAAAAATAACATTGCTAATTTTCCCGGTATTTTTTGAAGCTTGCAACGCTATGCCAAAAGGTCAAAATTTTGGCGGGAAAATGAAATTTTGAATTTTTTGGTTGCCTGAGGAAGAGATAATGGAAAAACTGAGGAATTTTTTTATTGTAAATGATTTAAAGCTTAGAACATCTCAACCTGAGTTAAAACAGCTAAAATCTTAGTTACAATGGAAGTTCTCCAAGTTAGACGCACTTTTTTTGCTGGAAGTTGGCACAAATTTAGACTAATTGTTTTCTACAACAGATGCATTATTCTTGGGCTAGCAATAAAAAAAGAAGTTTCCGGCCGAAAGCTAGCAGGAATACGGCATTTTATGAAGATTTTAGCATGCAAAGATTAATTTCAGAAATTGATTTCTGGCCTGGACACAACATCGGTAGAAAATATCGAAAAAAATATGAGCTTCGCACTATGAGCACTTCCCCTGTAAAATTAAAACCTTCCCTCTTACTTTATCCGTGTCCTTTCTAATCGTATGCACTGGGAACACCTTTAGTTTCGCATCAGCCACTCCGTAGTCCTCATCACTAACCAGCCCATTCATCATCGCCTCCGCACTCAGGATCGTCCGATCCGTGTCCGAGCTTCGGACGTAGAATTTGTTTGGAGTGTAGCGACCAGACAGAAGGGCTGTATATCGTTCGCGGAGCAGCTCGCCAAGCCGATAACATTGTTGCAAGCCTTTTGTGGTCAGAGAATTCAGACCGCCGGGCCAGGACTCCCGCTCAGCGAATGGGGTGTTGGCTGGAAACCATTCTGGCGCCCGCTTTCCATGTCGCCAGATCTGAACGAGAGTAGCCGATAATGTAAAAATATTTGGGATATAGTTTGACGAAAATTAGGGAGAACTTTACGCGTCTCGTCTTTTCGGGTCGACGACAGTTCGGGTCTATAGAAATAAAATTGATCGATACGGGGTGTAAGGCAAGTGAATACCCAAAAAAAGGTTGTAGGAAATCCCTGCGAGGTCTGCGAAAGCAGTTGAATGCTAGACGGACGCTCGGCGAAGGCTCGACGGAGACTTGGCGAAGACTTGCAATATCCCCACTTTTTTTTATTTTAGCTATTACTAACGTTAGTTTTCTTGACACTGAGTTGTTGTGAAATATAACAGGGCAAAATTTGTGGCGAAAAACGAAGATCCAGAACTTTTATCTAGACATTATTGATGTGAGTAAATGTATAATAGCTCAAAATAGGTGATACGCTAGGACAATGCTAGGACCCAATCAAGCTCATTTTTTCTGCCGACTAAGCCTCCCCTGGCCTTCCCCATGCATCGACGAACTGATCCGATCCATACTATCCTTGATCCGAACTGTCGCTGAACAGAAAAACGCAAGCAAAACTTCAGAAAATTGTGAATTTCATACCTCCAACATTCGTCTTGCCAAAAAAGCCAAAACTTTTTGCCAAAGCGCTTTCTTTCAGCCTTGATTTTTACTTTTTTTCATAGCATAAATCCTAACTTACAGCATGGACATGAATTAGTGTTGTCTCCAAGCTCAACGTTTCCAACCCAACTCCATGATCTCCCTGATCTCCAGCCAGTTGCTCATCCGTAAAACCGGTCTGTCTTGTTGTCGGATTACCCTCTGGCGCTCTCGGAATTGGATCGTCCGATAATGGGTCAAAATTTCCTATGGATCGAACTGTAGTGGTACTCGTTGTTGTAGATGCAACAGAAGATATTGAACTTTCAAAACTAGTTGCAGTTTGACTACTCGTAACAATAAAATCCTGTTCTTGAGGGCTTCCGGAACCAATCCAATGGATGAGAAATAAAATCAAAGGCAGCTTCATGGCCTAGAAATCGAATGAAATCAAAATAATAATCGAATTAAAAGCTTCAATTTGATCCGGCCCACTTACCCAAACATAATCAATTTTTTGCGATAAATATAATTCTTATTCAAACATTCGAAATTAGAGACAGCCGCCGGCAATCCGAGCAGCGTTCGCAGTTACAAACAACCTGCGCACTTGAGGGGCGGCTGGAAGAGTGCTGTGAAAATATCGACAAAGTCAAAGGGTATTGGGAGCAGAAGCGGGAACACAATCCGATAAAACCAGTGGGGCAAATATTTGAATTGAAACTTTAATAAGATCATCGGATGGAGTTTGGAATGATCCCGATTCTTTGGGGGTTAATGGGGCTAAATGGCTTGAAAAGAAGGTTAAATATTGGACGACAAATGGGGAATAGCATGACGATTGATTTGTCATCAAAATTTCTCGCAAAAAATTACATGTGAGAAATGTCTAGTCTTTCCGGAAAGTCGCCGTTGTTTTCTCACGGTGGGCATACCAAGCATAAATCCAACGCCAGTGACGGACCCGATCCGGTGACAAAAAAACGTGCCATTTTGCATCCGGGAAGCATCAAGAATGTGGCAAAATGTTTCCCTCTCCCAGTGGCAAAACTCTTTTTTGTAGGGCGCGCTTTTGAAATCAGAGTTTTTTCACTTGGAGATGGAAGCATTTTGCCACATTTTTGGTACTTCCCGGATGCAAAATGGAACGTTTTTTGCCGCAAGAACAGGCCCCCACTGTACCTTCAAAATTTGCGCATTTGAACGGTGATTATTCACGATCTTTGTTGCAGGGAGAAAATGCGAAACGCGGAGGGCGGTAAAGGGAAAAACATTTTTTGGCCGTGTCCTTGGCAATTTTGGAAAAAAAAATTTTGAGGAACATCTGCAAAAAAGCTAATATTTTGCCAAGTTTCAAAAAAATCAGCATCGCACCAACACTTTCCCTATTACTTTGTTTAGTTAGCGCTGCCCGGATCAACCGGGATATCTAGAGGCCTTTACGAAATAAATTTGCAAAATAAACAAGCATACCGAACAAGCGTTGTTTATATTTCAAAGTGCATTATTAACAATAACAAAGGATCATGTGCAAAGTAAAAAATAAACTGTTACAACAAAGGCAAAAAATAAAAAACCCTTAAACAGTAAGCTATTTTGCGGGGAACATTGATTTTAATATTAAATTCATTCCCCGAAAAGGGGAATGAATTTATAAAAAAAAATTTCGCAGTTTTATTTTCCATAAAAATGAACAGAGCGAGCTGCATTGATCTGATTACACTCGTTTTTTTTGCAAGGAATCTTTCACGGAAATCCGAACGAAACTTATTTTTTGCAAAGTTCATGAAGAATATTCGAATTTTGAAGTTTTTGAGAGGCAAATAAAAGTAATTATTTTTTGGGAAAAACGTTAAATTTTTAACAGAGAAAATTGTCGAAGGACGAGGCTGAAATTATAGTGGCGGCCCTGATTTAGTAGCTGGACCTCATTCAGTGGCAAAAAACGTACCATTTTGAATCCAGGAAGCATCACAAAATGTGGCAAAAATACCTCCCTCTCCAATTGAAAAAACCCAGATTTTTACTTGTTAAAAGCGCGCCCGCTCTTTTTGTGAGGAAAAAGGGCGCGCCCTTCAAACGAAGCTTTTCCACTTGGAGAGGGAAGCATTTTGCCACGTTTTTGATAGTTCCCGGATGCAAAATCGTACATGTTTTGTCACTGGATAAGGTTTCCCACTGTATGATGAAATTTGGCGTAAATTTGGATTAAGGTTCTCATTAACATACGCGAAAACGCGGCATTTTTTTGCCCGAAGACTTTCATGCCTGTTCCTACCGTAGAGAGTAATGTTACCACAAAAAAATCCACACGAAACTATAAAAAAGATACGACCAAAAATTGTTCAATTGTTCTTGTTTCGTGTGCTCGGCCACAATTTTGAATATCTCGACTACGTTTCGAACATCGGGGACTTCCTTTGCAAAACCTTTTCAAAATGAGGATTGATGACACACTGACATATCAAAACTTTATCATAATTCATTCAGAATTCAACGCCATTTTCAATTTTCACAATAACATTTCTTAATTCTGCGATTTTCCCTCCACATTAGTAGGAAGACTTGTATTACTAATATTCGTGCTATAAATATTGACCTTCTTCCTTGTAAACACCCACAGGAGTTGTTGTTTGAACCAAGGAACTTGCGTGATCACCGTCAACGGGTTGATGATCGATATCAGTGAGGATGAGGTGCAAACATACAAACCCGACCACCAGCAATCGAGCTTCAGCATGGTCAAGATTGTCGAGACGAAAATGGGCATGCCAATGATGACAAATGGATAGGTTGCCTGAAAAACAAGGCATTACTGTAGTTAGATCGCAATGGCAAACATTTTTTTTAATGCTCAAGCATCAAGTTTTACAGTATGCTCAGACAAAAATTGAAATTACCTGCAGTTTCATCACAGTGCTCAAAACCTCATGGGCATGCATTGTGTGGGCGGACATGTTTCGGAAGTCTTGTTTGAGCCGCTGCTCGATCATCCGATAGGTTTTGAAGATGATTATGTACAAGATAATCATCATCATTTGACTGCCCAGGAAATGCGTCATGGAAAGCATGTCATTCTGAAAGATGAGAAGATACGATACGTACATAGTATAATGAGCAAACCAGAGCAAAGCTTTCATTCCGAAAAGCTTACCGGATCTCCAACAATGTAGCCGGGCTTCCCAAGTCCGAAAATCGATTCCCCCACAAAAATTTCAGTATGTACAGGCGTCTCGTCTTCATGACAGATAAAACAATAAAATCCTAGTAGAAGAGACATTGTCGCACCAATACTGTAGATGCCAATGTATTCGGCAATCGTAAATGGCCTGATCCGACAGAGCGCCGAATACCGGTAGATGAATTGCATAGCCAGTGCGGCAATGCTGTTGTAACAGGCGGTAAGCCAGAATGCGATCGAGAGAAAGTTGTAGGGATAAGAAAGATTGGCAAACACACCGAGATTGATGTAGTACATGTGGCCTTTTCGGACTTCTATCACCTGTAAAAAAACGTATTTATTGGATGTGGGAATACGTTATTGGGTGGTCTTGCATTTGTAAATTTGTAGTTTAGAGTCGTACGGCATTCGTTATCGGCTGATAAAGGAAACGGGCACAACTTTTATAAAATTAGAACGAGCAACTTTCAGAGTATCAAATGCTTTTTTTTAATTTTCAATACCTGTCGCGGCTAGTCGACAACACAAAAAAATGTAGACCCTACTCTCGATTTTTCGATTTTTTTTCGAAACCGATCTCGGTGGCGGAATTTCCGATTTTTTCTCCTCGGAGAGCGGTCGGTTTTTCCTGTCCACCCATGCCGTCGCGGGCACAAAAGGCTTTGCCTGGGACAGTAGCTATCAATCGTATTGGATTTCGAGTTGGTACAATCAATGTTGATCAATTCGAAGCGAGGAGAAATTGGAGCAGTTCGAGAAATCGCTGGAAAAAGGAAACGGTGGAGCTAATCTTGGAGTATATACTGTTCAGTTCTGGCAGTGATGCTACTGGAATGGACACCTCCTACACACACCCGCTCGGACGCCCAAGGATAAGAAGGACCAAAGCACTATAGCCACCGATGGAAGGATGTTGCATTGACTTGACAATAGAAACCATGCTGATTCACTCCATGATTTTTACATGTGATTAGTGAAATAAATTGAATTGAATCCATCTCGGCGGCGGAAAAACTTCGAAATGCTGTGGGGCCCCGAATTATTGGATTTGGGAAAGAAGGAAAATCAGTTTGGAAGTCGCAGCCTGAGCGAGCGGTTGGCCGCCAGAGCGTATGGACAATTGGTGAAGAAGCAGCGGAGTGAGCTGTCGCACGGCAACCCGAAGTGTTTTCTGGCTCCCTTGGAACTCTTAAGTAATGCAATTTTGGAGGTGGCAGAATGCTTATAATTTTTCCGACAGACTGATATTTTTTTTTACGTGAAATAATGTGAGTGTGTCGGGAAAAAAACGTGGATATTCCGCAGCAAAATGTCTTCGCAGCCGCGCACTAAATCCCCAGCCGCGGCTAGCCCTCACAAAGCGATGATAAAAGGGTTTCCAAGGCCCGAAAAATCCCTATTATTTTCCCGACAGGCTGATAGTACATATAGTTTTTACTCACCGGGATGACAATGAAATGCACGATCGAGTAGAGAGTATCACCCGCCACGCCGATCCATATCACAGCACAATAGTTTCGGAGGACCCTGTTCTTCGTTGTGAACGTCAACAACAGCACTGTAACGTTCAGCAGAACCGCGACGAAACTGGAGATAAGTTGACAGATTATATACCCATCCTTCAGCGTCAAAGATGACAGAAAGCCAAAGGTGGTTTCGGACGAAATGTTCTGTTCAAAACTCTCCAAATCTGACGTCATCCTGAAAACTTAATTTTATGGCAAGTTCTTCAGAATCGTAATGTGGCACATTGCGAGCTTGTGACACATTTTCAGCACCTTCCAAGATAGTAAAAGTGCGGGGTAAACGTTTTCACGAAAGGAATTTTTAAAATATCGGGTTCAATTGTAACATGTGCAAGTTTAACACGGTTTACACGAATATCCGACTGCAGTGTTCGGTGAACAGGATGAATGAGAACACCAAACTGTTCCCCTAATTTATTTCAAGCGCAGCGACCGCCTGATTTCCACCGAATACAAAGTGTTCTCTGGCACAACAACAAGGAAATTTAATAAATAAATTAGCGTTTGCAGCATGGGTTACTCGATGCATGACTTGGCAAAGTGCGAGGAAAACGTACTGTACAGTTGCTCTTGCACGTCACAAATTTGGGGAACGTCTGGGCACGTGTTCGTGCTCTCAGCGTCTATTAGTACTAGTCGCGCCGTCTCGACACATTTGCATAGTGCGTTTTTTTCTTTTTTTTTAAATTTTTTATTTTTTTAATAAAAAAAATAAAAAAAAATTGAAATAAAAAAAAAACAAAAAAAAATTTTTTTCAGAGCTCTCCTGGAATATGTATTGCAATCAAAAAATGTAAAGTGTTTATCAGTCTGTCGGGAAAATAATTTGGATACATCGCGCATTGGACTTGCCTATCGTCGCTTTTAGAAGGCTAGCCGCGGTTGGAGATTTGGTGCCCGACTGCGATGACGCAGTCGGGCACTACCCGACGACAAAACCACATTATTTCCCCCACAGACCGATGAGAAAAGTATCCGTCTGTCTGGGCGTAAAATTCCGCAGCTGGAAATTTGGTACGCGACTGTATCTTTTTTTACGAGGCAAAGCATTTTGCTGCGACTACTCGACACTGGGTAGTCGCAGCAAGTCGCGCCTTTGATTACACGGCGCGACGACTTGCCACTATTTTCCCGACAGACTGATATTTTAAAAGACGATTTTTGGCTCGCTGCGTCAGCGGTGGACATATACTCCGGGACTAAAGTTTGGAACAGGCCAGATTTTCTTTGCGGCTTGAGATCGGAGTTTCATTTCTTTTCCATTAGAATCGGAATGTATTAAAACCCGGAATAGATGCATAGCCATAGAAATCAGAAAGCTCATATGAGCAAAACACAAAATTCGTAAAAATAGGTGGGACAAAAGTTTGGAACAGGGTTAGGAATGCGACCATAAATTTCCGGGTATAGTCAAAAACTCCTAGGCTTTGGTCTTTTTAGATGCTGCGAGGAGTCAGGATCTTAACGACATACTGATTTTCATCGATAAGCTCAAAATGAAAAAAATTCTTGTTGAGCCAAACATGACGGTCTAATTTGGGGAAAAAAAAATATTTTTGGGTTGGGTTACCCATGTTATCGATGTATTAGCATTCTAAGATATCAATTATGGTCGCATAATCTCCTGCAGACAGTCATATCCTCGCATTCACACCGTATACGCATAGTATGAATTATGAAAATTTTGAGTTGTGCTTCAAATATTGGTTCAATGATTTTTACATCTTTTGTATGGCGGCTTGATGGCTAATTGGTGTTTCCATAGTTTTTGTGGGATGAAAAGGTATTTTGAAAAAATAAAAACCAACCGCTATTTGCAACACGAAAGGCCACAACTTCGAAAAACCCGGAAATATGAGATGACAAGATGACCCATATTTTTTACTTTAATTTTAGGTCGCCATATGGCGCAAAACTAAATGCCTTTATCCTTTTCACACTGAAATAATTTTGTTAGCCAACTCTACAATGTATTATACTAGGAATCCAGGTCAATGTAAGCATTGATTTTGGTGACCGAAAATTTGTTTTAATGTTTGAAACATCTGGCGGGGGATATTGCAAATTGCGGTCAGGTTTTGCTTTGTGAAGATACCTTTTTATCTCACAGTTATCATAAGCAGGCCAAATAGTCTTCATGTCGTCATACAAAAAATCTAAAATTCATTAGACCAAGATTTGAAGCAAAATCCAAAATTTTCATTACTGTGCGGTTAAGATCGCTATGCGAAGATTTGAGTGTCTTTTTACGGTTGTACGACCATATTAAATATTTTAGAATGCTAATACATCCATAACATGGGTAACCCAACCCAAAAATATTTTTTTTCCCCCAAATTGGACCGTCATGTTTGGCTCAACAAGAATTTTTTTCATTTTGAGCTTATCGATGAAAATCAGTATGTCGTTAAGATCCTGACTCCTCGCAGCATCTAAAAAGACCAAAGCCTAGGAGTTTTTGACTATACCCGGAAATTTATGGTCGCATTCCTAACCCTGTTCCAAACTTTTGTCCCACCTATTTTTACGAATTTTGTGTTTTGCTCATATGAGCTTTCTGATTTCTACGGCTATGCATCTATTCCGGGTTTTAATACATTCCGATTCCAATAGAAAAGAAATGAAACTCCGATCTCAAGCCGCAAAGAAAATCTGGCCTGTTCCAAACTTTAGTCCCGGAGTATAGGAAAAAATCGATTTTGAGTTTTTTGCATAAAAATGACCATCGACATGTGCTAAGGAAAAGCGAATAACAGTTTTTCTCAATTCTGCCCGGAAGGTATAAATTTGCTTAAATTTGTCTTTTTTGGAATTTTCGACCTAGTGACGTCATAGAAAAAGGGAAAGGTTCCAAATCCCTTTTGCGAAAGCGAAAAAAATGTCCACGCATTTTTATGAAAAATACGCAGCAGCAGCAGCTTTAAGTTGCTGAGAAATAATAACAACGTTTGCTTCCACTTACTTTCCCAGTCATCCCGTTTTCAATTACATAAATGTTTCGCTGCAAAATTTAGCGAGTATCAAGGGTGTTAAAGTTACACAACGGAGCCAGTAAACGCAAAATGAGCCCGGAAACTGTAGTCTACTCCAATTTTGATTCCTCCGCATACGAGTCATACTGTCAAAAATAGAAAAGGCAATGATGTGGTTACGGGGTATAGTCTTGAAGTATGTAATATCTTGAAGGATACAAAAGGTGCTCCATCGCGGGTCCGTTTAGCTCGTGAACAATACAATGAAATGATTTTCAACATTGTAGCGGATTTAAGATTAAGTGTCCAACATTTAGTTGCACACACTACAAGTGCCAAGATATGTTTTCGAAAAGTTTAACCGTCAGTGAAAGGGTTTATTGAGGGACGGTGCTTTTAGCAGAGCGGTAAAAATCGAGGATGAAAGGCATTCTGCGTACAATTAGCAAAGGTTTTTTCAGTCTGTCGGGAAAATAATGAGCACTCGGAAATCGGATCCTTATTTTCTCGACAGGTTGCAATGAATTTGTCGGGAAAATAATTTGTCTTTGTCACGCCTTGGAATCGCCTATCATCGCTTTAAAATGGCTAGCCGCGGCTGAGGATTCGGTTTGCGGCGGTTGCGGGCAAATTTAGGACAAATCCACATTATTTTCCAGACAGACTGTTGTCTGGAATTTTTCACCTAGTAACAAATAGTCATGTACAATAAAAGTCGTCTATTAAAATCCACTTTTTTAAAAGACTCTTACAAGCCCTTTAAAGAAACTTTAATCCCAAAAATATTGACATTTTTGTTGCGAAAGACACCCAGTTATTTCGCTTGGCAAAAGATTACATTTGACGAACTAAAGTAAATAATGTTTACAGAGTGTCGGGTACGTAGAAGCACAGAATTAGCTTTTGTCAAGAGAATTGGTCAATTAGTGGGCTAATCTGATGAACTACAAACTTGGAAAGTTAGCATGATACTGCACGTGGGTTAATAAGGTTTCAGCGCGCCTAAGCACCACGCCATGAAAGAAGATTGCTTTTCACTGGGAATTGAAGCTGGGATTTAACCAAAAAATCGATGGATTCGTGGCGTAGATCAGGCGGACCCTAGAAAAAGAGTGTATAAAGTACAGAATTGCAGAACCGTTTTATACTTTGGCGAAAGTCATCAAACATGACAATTTTTTTATTCTAACTAACCCTAAGCTTTGGTTTTACGAACCTAACCTACCATTATGATTCAAAAAAGGCCAAAATTTTCTCGGAAAAACGAAGATCCCAATGGTTTATTTTTCTATTGTTAGCGTACGTTAAAATACCTCAAACTAGTCATAAACTATCCCAGGACCTGCTGTTTTCTCTATTTCTCTAATTTTCACAAGACGAAGTCGAGGTGTCACGACTTCACGTGCGAATTTGCATATTCCCAAGGAAGGGCCGACAAAGTGGTATAAAAGGAACGGAAATCTTCCCATCAAGGAGTGTAAAATCTGTGTTTTCTCCGCTGCGGCGGTTGTATTTGTCTGGCTCAGTAAGTGGTCTACTGTTATCTATTGTATCGTCATCGTATCCCTTTGCACACGGTTCCTTACACTATGAGTTCAGCACTGAATTTGTCGCCCTTTCAGCTAAGGCCTACTGTTAGTTTGTCATTGTTTTGTATAGTCGTATTTGGGCTAGTGATCATAGATAGAAGAATGGAAATGATGTCTTCTGCGATTTTTCAAGGGCTCTTCAATGACGTATGTCACTTATGATTTGGTGAGGGTTCGTATGTACACTTCCCTAGTTAGCTTTGCAAAATCACGTAGAAACAAATAATAAATAACTTCTAACATTAGTTTTTTTTATTATCTATGGTTATTTTGTCTAATTTAATTTCGACTCTGTAGTTTTCTATTACTAAGATTTCAGTGTTTCTGTAAATACCCATAAGTACGTTTATTGGATTATGTACAATGAAATGTGTTTCCAAGTTTACGTGTAGAACGTTAGGACGGACTCTTGATTCCCTCGGATCAACACCGTTGGCGGAAGATTCTTTGTCAGTTGATGCAACCACGACAAATACAACGCATAGGACATGTGTTTGCGAGGGACTGGCATTGATCTGAAAAAAGGGCGTCGTTGGATGCATGTTTTGTAAGCAACATGAATGCTTACAGTACGACCAGATCAGCGGACTTGGAGTGCTCTTGTAGCAGCTCGGAGATCCTCAAATTCTTCATGGTCTTCGCTTCATGACAGGTCCATTCCATTTGTGAGATGAGGCCGGGTTCCTCGCCTCGGAACTCTTTGATCTCGACGTTGTAGTCGTGGAGACTGCAAAACAGACGCAATGAATAACAGTGATATATGGTTAAAAAAGCAACAGAGCTCTGTTGCTTCTTGCTTTACTCCTTTTCAGAGGAGTTCCTTATTCTGGCCACAACTTATAACTTTGCAGAAACTGGTCAGAATTAGCCCAAATTTAGCGTGCAGGCTCAATTCATCGTTGTCAATGCCCGGACACTGGATTTAGTTAGTAATTGTACCTTTTTTTCACGTACCAACTTACCCTTCAAAAACGACTGCAGCCTGCGATTTTACACTTTATACGGTGAAACATGTCCGGAACTAAACATATTGCCTCCGTATAGAACTAAATGAGTCGTCATCGCCTTCGTAGGTACCCTTAAGACTATAGAGCTATTACAGTAATTCAGTGCCAGTTAGGTCGAAGCCTTTTCTCCTGACTTTGGTTCACAAGCTTGGCGCAGTTCGCAAAGTGCCTTTGTTGTGGCCAGAATAAGGAACTTTTTCCCAGTGAAGTCGCCCGCACAGAAAAAAGACTGCATAAAATTTGGCAACACTTTTCAAAAAAATCAATGCTTTTGATACCAGCTTGTCGGGAAAATAATGTTGTTTTGTCGCCATTTTTTGGAAATCGCCCATCATCTTTTTGGGCTAGCCGCGGCAGGAGATTTGGTGCGCAACTGCGAAGAAGCGAGACACTTTGCGGCGACAAACCCACACAATTTTCCCGACACACCAATGAGAGGGATGAAGTATCAGTCTGTCGGGAAAATAATTAGCATAGTGTCGCATCGAAAATCGCGTCGCCTCCGAAAAAATAAACTGTTCCGCCAGCGACACTATGCTTATTATTTTCCCGACAGACTGACAAAAATTACGTTGCCTTTTACTGCTTTTCTTACGTAGTTCCCATCAGCTTTGTTCCCACATCCGACAGCACAATGATGTCCTTGAATTTGAGCCGAAACTTTTTCATCAACACAATCATATCCCTCTGCGCTTGCGTCACTTGGCTCTCATGGGAGATGGTAAACAGTCTTAGTTTCGCCCCCTCCAAATAAGATTTGCTATCCGTTAGTAAGTGAGGAATTAGTAATGACAGTCCACCGTCATCGTACAGCCACCACACATCAATTGTGCCTTTCTTGACTCGGCTCTTGAAACTCTGTGTCATCGTTTGGAGAATGGTAGGGGTTTTCAGCTCCACTGGCTCCTCTGTCTCTGGTTGATCAAGGTAAAACGAGTCCATGGCGTTGTTTTTGTTTTGCCGCAGGATCATGACTCCCATTTTGGCGTCAAACGCGTCTCTAAAAAGATTCAGAGTGACGGACATGATCCAATGGCAAAAAAGTTACCATTTTGCATCCGAGAAGTATCGAAAATGTGGCAAAATGCCTCCCTCTCCAAGTGAAAAAAACACCGATTTTAAAAAGGCCGCTCTTTTTGTGACGAAAAGGCGCCTTTCAAAACGAAGTTTTTTCACTTGGAGAGGGAAGCATTTTGTCACATTTTTGATGCTTCGCGGATGCAAAACGGTACGTTTTTTGCCACTGGATCAGGTCCGTCACTATAAATAGATATGTTTACTGGGGATATACCTCAAGTGCAACGCTCAGATCTTGATGATAATTGGCAAAAATTAAGATAAAATTTTGTCTAGGACATGTGTGTGATTTTGTCCACTCGCTTGGCCACAAAACTAGTTGAATATCTCGGCTTTCCCTGGAAAACGAGAGCAAAACTTTTCAGTGATTGATATGCGGCCTATGCTAGAAGTTTGGGCAAATTTTTAAGAAACGCTGAGCGTCGCACGTGTCAGTGGAGACTGTGACGTGCAACGCCACTGTATCTTCGGTCTACTGTCAACGTTTGTTGGAGAAAAGCCCCTTCATCTTCATACAAATTAACGCTCCAAAACAGGGCCTAGAAGCCCTCTTCATGCAAGACTCACTGTATGATCTCAAAGTAGTTTTTCATCTCATCCAACTTTTTCCTCCCCTCGCTTATCCAATCCTCTTTGAAGCCCAAAAGCAGCACATTTGGCTTCATTTTTCCCAAGCCGGCGGTTTGGATCAGCTGCCTGGCCCCACCCGGGATAGAATCGTTGATTGTGGTCGCCATGAAAGCCTTCACTTTGCGATCCCTCAGCCAGCGTTCGTAGCAGCTATTGAGGTTCTCCAAGAGTTGGTACTGGTTTGCATCATCGCTGATTTTCTATAGAAAAATTATGATTAGAGAACATAAAGCTCCATAAATTTAATTTTCTCGGCGGTGATGAGATTTTCTCTGTGGCAGAGTGCTCATTATTTTCCCGACAAATTGATAAGAGCCTAAAATCTTTCTCGTAAAATTATGCTCTTTATTCGAACCAGTTTTGCTCAATTTCTCATACCCTCTTACCGTTATGACATTTGCGCACAGCATCAGAGACTTGTCTCTCGTAATGCTGCCGACAAAGTCGACCAGAAACGTTCGTTCCATCGGATTCCCGGTCATCACCATGATCTGGGGCCGGTAGTTTTTCACATGCTCTTCCATCGATTCCAGCTTGGTTAGGCCCGTGAGGGCGTTGCGGTAGCAATGGGCTTGCGGGGAGGAGCCCCAGTTGACGTCTGAAAAACAAATTTAATGGAGAATCCGGCGTATTTTACACTTTTTTGATTTTATGTCAGTCTGTTGGGAAAATAATGAGCACCTGTTGGATCGAAAATCGCATCGCCGCCGAGGAAATGAATTGTGTTTGCGACCAATTCAAATTGTCTTTTATTTTACACAATCGGCGCAGCAACATTGTGCTCATTATTTTCCCGACAACTGACACTTTTATCGACCGCATTTTTACACTTTTCTTGGCACAGATCTTTGCGCGGCCGACCTACCAGGCTTCCTCTTTCTGATATACACGAATATAACGCCAAAGAAGAGGAACGTGACCAGCGCGGTAAGCCATGAGATGATGAACATCACCGTGACACACAAGATGGAGCCCGCCAGTGACACCCACTTATTGTAATATTTGAAGCCAGGGCGGAACCCTGAAAAAGATGTATATGCTCACATATACAGTGGGGGACCTGATCCAATCGCAAAAAGCGTGCCATTTTGCATCCGGGAAGGATCAAAAATGTGGCAAAATGCCTCCCTTCCAAGTGAAAAAATTTCGTTTTGAAAGGCGCGCTGTTGAAATCGGAGTTTTTTCACTTGGAAAGGGAGGTATTTTGCCACATTTTTGATACATCCCGGATGGGAAATGATACGTTTTTTGCCACTGGATCAGGTCCCTCACTGCATACTCTATCGGTTCAACATCTTAATTTTTACCAACTTACCCGGCGACTGGGCCAAAGAATTGTCGAAACAAGCGTAATTGACCAGCACATAGGACCCAAGAAAGAAGTTGGAGATGATTGGGGCGATCAAGTCCAAGTCACCAATAAGGATGACCAACATGGAGATGATGTACACCAGAATGTAGATTTTTCTCGGCTCGCCGTCGCGTTCTGAACCCTGTCCGAACTTGTTGATATATGGGAAGATCCGGTCTTGACATACGGCTTGGAAAATTTTTGCGGAGCTCACCTGGAAACGTTGTAATAAAAAAAAATACAGTAAAAAAATTTGCGGTCTTTCGGGAAAATAATGAGGATTCGTAGCGCCTTGGAATTTCCCATGATCGTTTCGCGAAAGCAAGCCCAGGATGGGGAGTGTGACAGCGACGACGCCAGGCCTTTCTCTGCGACAAACCCACATTATTTTCGCGACAGAGAGATAAAATGGTGCGCAAGGAGCACAAATTTTGAAAGTGTTGAGAGATTGCTATGTAAAGAACAAGTTATCAGTCTGTCGGGAAAATAATGAGCACTCTATCGCATCGAAAATCGCAACGCAGGCTGGAAAATGTAAAGTGTCGCGGCAAAACCAAATTGCCTTTCATTTCAGCGACTTGCTTGGCGCAGCGACGTAAACAATATAGCTCATTATTTTCCCGACAGACTCATAGTCGGTCTCTAGATATAATATTACAGTAGAAGCTCTGAACAAGAGCTCCCAAACAACAAGCGGTCTTGTAAAACAAGAAATTTTTGCGGCCCGACCGAAATGAAGCTTGGTGCAACAAAACCCTTCTAATACAACAAATTCATGCGGTAAAAGGTTTTTCGATATGCTCTTTCAAATGGCATTAGCAGTTTTTCGATATCTCTTACCAAACCTTAGATATTGACACTTTCCATGGGGTAGGAACATATACTTTCCTAACGGAGTGTATCTTTTTCGGTCCTTTAAAATTTGCTGTGCAGAGATTTCATTGTATTTTTCGAATAAAACTGCTGCTGGCTATGGAAGCTTCGCAAAAAAATCTTCTCAAGATTTTAACTTACATACTCTATGAAGTTCACGCAACAAATTGCCCAAGGCACACGATAAAAAACCCCAAAAAACTATCAAAACAACCTACCAGCGATAACAACGCGGAACTCAACGATGACGCAATAATTCCAGCTGTTATTAGTGGGCCCCAAAAACTGTTCAACTCCAAGATTTGGAAATAGTTCAGCGTCCCGTATTCACAAGTGTTATTCACACTGCAGCTTGGCGTTTGCCTCGAGGCAAAGCTGAGGCTAAAGGTCGACCAATCAGAGTCGTTGCTGGCAACAATAGTGTTTAAAATTGCCGGAATCATAAGTCCATCAGCATCTCTGACCACCGTAAATCCAACAGCAAGGACTACGATGGAGTAGAGGACGGTTGTGAATCCAATCGCCAGCAAAGTGCCCAAGGGCAGAGCTTTTTCTGGGCGCTTGAGGTCGCCGGAAATATTGGCGCCAGCCATAATTCCGGTCGCGGCCGGAAAGTAGATAGAGAAAACGGAGAAAAAACTGTGACCATCGCGATATTCGGGAAGAAGATTGTCGCTGAAGGTGGCAACTGGAAATGGACTCGGTAAAAGCAAATTTTTATAGCAAGAGGAGTATCAGTTCGTCAGGAAAATAATGAGCACAGTGCTGCTGCGCCAGTCGCGTCGATGAAATGGAAAGAAATTTGGTCTTGCCGCGACATATTTAATTTCCTTGGCGGCGATGCGACTTTTGATGCGACAGAGTGCTCATTATTTTCCCGACAGACTGGTATTCTCGATGTTTTATCAAAAAAATGACGTTTTTTTCTCAGTTTATCAATGTTTTAAGGGCAAAAATAGCAAGTATGTTTAAAAAACTTTTTTCTATAAACGACCTCCGTATTAATCATAATCTCTCTTCAGCAAAACTCATCGTACAGGGATGTCTCTGTGGGGCTCTAATTAGAATTTTTGAGATATGGTATGTGGCCTAGGCACATTCCATGTGCAAGTATTAACTCATAGTCCGACTATGAGTCACCAAGACTTTTAAGGGCAAAAGTTTCAAAACTCGAGATTATTTGTGAGATTTACATTCGCTGATTATATTCTTCGCCCGGTTTTCTCTCCTCGAACGAAACGTGTAAAATTTCTATACTCATCTCGAAAAGACTTGTCAAAAATAAGAAACTTACAGCTATACCCAGTGATCCCTTTGCGCTGTTGGTCTTCGGATGGCGGAATGAACGTACCAACAAAGTAATCCAAGATTGAGGCCGTCATGATTGTCAGCAATATCATTTGAAGCTTGCTCTCAAACCCTGTCCCCACCAGGACAATGCAAATCAGCACCGTGCACGCTACTGCAATCACAAAGAGAACATATAACTCTTGGTTAGGTTGTTTTGCTTCTAATTTGGAAAAAAAACTACGGACATTACCCAATCCGATCACCCTGATCTCATTCACATCCCCATCCAAAAAAGTGACATCCTTGATCCGCAAAAAGTCCTTCATGGTCTCCGCGAATCCCACGATATACATCGCCGCTCCAACACAATTGGCGAGCGAAAAAATGATCCCAATGGGTCCACCGAACTCGGGCCCCAACGACCTGGAAATCTTCATAGTACAACGCTACTATAAACGGGTATTTACCTACCAAAAAGTAGGCACCACCCCCCTTCACTTCGCCATTCGTGCAGATGGTGCACAACGAGAGCGCAGTGATCGTGGTGACTGTGGACGCGAGTAGGATTGTCAGTTGGCCGAGAAGAATTCCGGCTTGTCCGGTGATCCAGGAGAGCCGGATGTAGAGGATTACGCCGACAATATTGAGGACGCATCTAAAAGATAGGTCTAACAAGGAAAGTACTTCTATGGGGTGTGGAGTTACAGGTCGAGATATATATCAAAAAATTCGCAAAAATTTTCTGATTCAGAATATATAAAAATTAGCTGCCTAATTTTGGTCTATAAACGAGTTTTATCAATAAATGTATTTCTCGAGGAAAAAAATCTGCGGCAACAAAAGCGCGCTCGGTCTCTTCCTTCGGAAGAGAGCGGTGTGGCCGAGTGGTTAGAGCGGTAGATTGGAAATCCGAGGGGAGAGGGTTCGGTTCTTTTTGCCATACTAGAACCCATTTTTTACATTGGAACTACTTTTAAGGTGTAGTTGTAATCCAATTTGATATTTTAAGGCTTGTCAAGGCCTCAGAATTTATTTTAGCACAAAACAAAATTTTTTTATTGGTAAAAACACGGTCAAAAAGACACTTGCATGGTGTCGCGAGAAAACTTCTGAGGACAAAAACATGTCATCAGACCAAAATTAGGCAGCTAATTTTTATATATTCTGAATCAGAAAATTTTTGCGAATTTTTTGATATATATCTCGACCTGTAACTCCACACCCCATAGAAGTACTTTCCTTGTAAAATGTCAGTCTGTCGCGAAAATAATGTGGATTAGTCTTGTCTTGATGCTATATCGTCCATCATCGCTTGGCGACGCCTAGCCGCGGCTGGGGATTTCGTGCGCTACTGCTATGACAAGAAAAAAGTTAGACTTTTTAATGCAAAAATCTACATTATTTCCCCGACAGACTCATAGATTTAAAAACGAATAAATAATGCGCCATTCTTCAGATTTTGCGCTACGCTAAAATTGCCAAAAAATGCTATTTTTTCGATAACTTCCGGCCTAAAAATCTTCGTATTTTTAGGCCAGAAGCAAGTATGGGTTGGAAGAAAAAGCCCAACTACCCCTGTGGACCCTTCCGAGCTAGGCAAATCCCTTGCACAACATCTAAAACTAAAGCAAGTGTGGGCTTCTCTTCCTCACCTCAAGAACACCCCTTCAATCCAGCCGAATTTCCTCGATTTTTGCTTCGTCTCCTCCTTCCGATCCATTTGCACGACCGAAACTTTGCAACTCATCTTGCGGGTTATCCGTTTCCCGTCCTTCGGCAATTCCAAGACATCTTGGCCGTTCATCAAGTCAAAAATCGAGGGCCTTTTGCTTTGCCGCGCGTCGCCGGTGCGCACGTAGTGATCCACCGCGGGATGACGGTCCACGGTGTCCATCTGGAAGAGGAGACGTCCTTTAGGCTTTATAAATTGCATTGAAAACAACGAGTTATATCCAAGGATCAAAAAAACAAAAACAAAATCCCTTTTTCACCTCGGTTTTTACAATGTCCCCCCTCCAAAACCGAGCAAAAATAAGGTAATAAACGGATCAGCAACAGACAAAAAAAAGGATTTTTGGCGCATGGAGGGTTGGAATGGTGGATAATATTTATATCGAGGATAATATGTATAAAATTTTGGATCAGCGTTACTACTAAAAGCACTAGCCCATCTCAAAGTCGCTGCAGTGATTTTTGCGACATACGCTATACAACAGAAGTAACGGGGCGAGCGACAGAACAAAAAAGCCTATTGCACAGTGCAAAGCAAATTTTTCTTTTCGCTTTGCGAACAGGCTAGTACAATGGTAATACAATAAAAAACAATTACTTTTTTTGTTAACAAATTTTTATACAAGGCAAGACTATTTCCCTTGTAATTAAAAGTCCCGCCCCTCTCCTTATCAACCGCGGCTATCCAATAAATCAACAAGAAAGTATGGCTGCTGATAATGTCTATCATACGAGTAGTTGATAATCTCATTGGCTTATAGCAGGAAATTGGAAAAACAAGTCACAAAAGAGCGTAGCATTACAAACCGCAGCTTGGCCCGGACATTGCTGAAATCGGTAGCTCAGAATCAAACAAAAATTGAAATTTCTATACGCCCGACCACACATTGGACAAGCATTTCTGACGAGAGATTGCGGATATAACCGGTGCGCTACCCGGCTCAAAAACCCAGGGGATTTTCGGCCACCCACACCGTGCATTTTGATCGTTTTGCAGCGATCATTGCATTCCTCTGGCATCAAGTTTGAACCTTGCGCCTACAGCACTTCCTAGACCACAAAACCTTTTCTCAAAGCCCAATTAGCCCATTTGATTTGACATTTATTCCCTGCTCAAGTAAACAATGATTCAGCTTCCGCCTTGCCAAGTCATTTCTGACCTCTGAACGCTTGCAAACTGAAAAATTTGGTGCTACCCTTGACATTCAGACTTGCTAACATATTTTCTACTGTATCCCAGCTTTCAACAATCTGCTTTCGGTTATCCGAGTTATCCGACAGTTTCTGGTTATGGAGAACAAAAACTGTGACGTAACTTATCGGAAATAGTTTTTTTCACTAGGGAAATTTTTCACATTTTTTGTTTTCTTATCATCGACACAAGAAAAAATTTGTAGATAAATTTAATTTACAAGCATTAACGGAGGAATCAAACGATAATAACACATTTGCGGCATGTGATAGGAAGATTGCTCAAAGTATGAAAAATGCTAAAAAAAACATGCTCACAAGGGGAATACCTGTCGGAAGCGTATTTCAGGACTTACTTCGTCTTCCTGGCCAACTTTTACAAAGAGTATCTTCTAATGGTCATGCCGATTGTATGGGACAGGAGTAGCTGGTCATGGCGGCTGCTAGCGCGTTCTTTCCGCTTGCTTTGGCCTGCACAGGCTTATTTGGCGCTGCTGGAAGAGGCGCAGTTTTTATTGTAGTCGTCACTTCCTCCTCATAATCAACCTTTTTTTGTTGATAACAGGAGGAGAAAACAAAGTTAAACCCATCATACCTTTGTCAATGTTTTTTATTTTCTCTTTCTATTGTACCTTACTTTTCAAAACAAAACAAAATTCTAACCATCTGTCTCCGAATTACCGTTGCAAGATCTTCACTGACCTGAGATGTCAAGTGTTAGATGAATGCTTGTTTAGCAAGTGGCCACTAAGGATTTACATGATCCTCCATTTTCTTCTTTATTGGGCAAAGTAAGTTGATGCAAGCTGTGGATGACTACGGAAATATTTACTCGGTTCCTCTCTCTCTGGATCGGGCACCGTTTCAGCCGGAATAGTCTCGGATAACTCCATGGACTCATTCCTAAAACACTCAGCCAAATAACAACACCCAATAACAAATATCACCTGGTTTATCCGCCTCAATCCGATCACAAAATCAGCAAGTAAATAGCGTATCAGATTCTATATCACCGACGAACTTCTAGCCTGAGCGGTCCTCGACTCTTCTCGGCTGCTTCCCCTATGTGCAATTGCGCAACTAATTGTCCAATTGTCCCCATTCTTCATCTTTCAGCGGCTTGCGGCGGAATGCCAATGTTAGCAATCTGATCGATTCTGGGACTCGGCGGCGGTCCAAATGTCTTCTGAACGGCCACGGTTCTATTGATGCCTTATGTTACGAGCGACGTTGCAGCACGGGTTGAGGGGCCCTTAGTTTAGGTCTTATATCACATCTAGCCCTAATATCAAACTCACAATGTTATACACCGCGCTCGAAGGGGAACGACGATTTCATCAGCCAATACAACACAAGCATACAGCGGTAGGCACTAGAAACAGACAATTTATTGCCCACAATAGTACGACCGCCACAGCGGGGAGGACACACAAACAATTATTGCTCTTTCGTGGAAATCCATTCTTTTTATACCACTTTTTCGGTCGCTGGGAATATGCAAATTTGCACGCGAAGTCGTGGCACCTATCCAAAGAGCTTTGTGTGGGACAAGCTACTGGCCAGTATGTAGGTAATAGCGCTCTCAGTGAGTCCAAGGAGGATTCCGAACACTCCCAAATACACCGCATGCCAAACTGCTGAAACGGCCCGGTGAGTGGATTCACAATTCGCAAAAAAAAGGGGCGGAAAAACTTTTTGTCGGGGAAGAAATGGGGAGTTTTTGGGGCGAGAGAGTACGTTTTGCGCGGCTTTTCTCTGTCTTCTTTGTGAAATGAAGACGAAGTGTAAAAAACCGATAGCGAAGAGTCTATTCCGATCACCGGACTCCTCAGTTTGACGTGCATCGCCTTAGGGCTCCACAGTTTAAAGTGCCTCGTTCTCTGACTAAAAAAAAATCTTTTCGTTTGTGAAGAATTTTTTTCTTCACAAGGAGTATATCACTCGTTGTGTACCTTTGTTTTCAAGACAGAGCGTAAAATTCTGGTTTTCTCTGTTTAGACTCTATTTGGTCCTTATTGCTGTTTGGGACCGAGAATATTACCTTCTCGCAGCGCCTGCGGCATGCCTATTGGCCAATGCTATATTCTACGTTGGTTTCTGTGTTAAATGGCGATTTTTTTGTGTTCCCATTTTCGTTGTTGAGGTAAGGACGTTTACAGAACGCCAACTTGCCGTTTCATTATTTAATTTTTTTACTGGATCCTTTCAGCTCGTCACAACGCCTTTTTATTTCTACCTATTCTTCCACTACATGCCGATGGCATTTAACGTCGATTACGACACCGAATACTACAAGACGTTTCACATCGCCCACATCGTTGCAGTTTTTGTCTCGCTTGTGGTTGGATTCGCAAAACTCTCTACGTTTCCGATCATCTACCATGCGTTTCGAATGCTGCCTTACCCTGACAAGCACAAAATGGGAAATGATATGGCTGAGGCGGCACTTGTTGCTGTCGTATTTTTTGCCGTTTTGCTGTTTGCAATGGCCACAGGCAAAGGCCAAGTAATTAACTTGTGCCAACCTTGTCCTTGCTGCAAGGGGGATGTAGAAGATCAGCCGGAAAGGAGGGATATTTCAACAATCACCTGAAATTTTTAGTTTTTGACGTTGATGGTGTGCGCCTTCAGACCCGAAACCCTTGGAACCATTTCGTGAAAACTCAGCATTTTTTGGCAAGCCATGCTTTATACGCACCACATACATCGAAAAATACCCTTTGAAATTGTTGTGAGATTGATTCATATCCAAAATAAAAAAGTTTTAGCTTTCAGCTCACAAAACGGAACTGCAAAAAAACCTTCAAAAAAAGGTAAAATTTTATGAAATTTCCAGTTGCTTGTTTTGACTCACAAGGATTACTCACACAACTATTACTGTAAGCATCGAACGATTTTTTTTTCTCTCCACTTTTTCCCACGCATTTTACGAAATTTTGGATTTGCCGCGTTAAAGAGACGTTATCATTTCCATTTGCGTTCAAAGACCTATCCCTTTCCGCGTTTGCTTGCGTAGACACTCGTTTATTATTTTATTTGTTTCTAAAACTTGCATAAAAGAGCCTTTAATCTTGTTTGACCCGGAAGGTGGCAGAAATATGTACAGAGGATTTTTTGTTCTTAAGAATTGATCATCCAGATTGAAAGTGTTTCAAGTGCGACGTTCAGGTCTTGATGAAACTCGGCACATTTCCGAATATCCTGGTTCATAGAGTTGAAGAAATCTCTTCAAAATGGGATTAAAGCCGACTTCCTCCAATCCAAATTGTTGCCTCTATGGAAGATGCATGCAAAAGTTTTACATGCTACTGCACTTTATGTTGGTTTATATACAGTAAGTGCCTTCTCTAATCGTCCGGATGATGTTTTTCGCAATTTTAGAGGCTACTTTATCTTCATGGCCATCATGGATCAAGATTATATTCTCATCGCAATGCCGGTTATATGTTTTTTAACTTATGCAATATTCTACGTTGGGTTTTGTTTGCAAGAGAAGTTATTCTGCATTCCAGTATTTTTAGTGGACGTAAGTTTGTGTGATGGAGAATTTTGCAAACGGGGTTTTTGAAAAGGTTTTTTTAGTAAAGTAAAATCAGTTTTTTACCAACAAAGTAGCATTAATTTGTCTTACTCCTCGCGCCATGCAGAAAATTTTATCGGGGATGTTGCGCGCCAAGATTAAGAAAAAATGGCATGTCGCTAACAGAGAAGTTGCAGCAAATACTTAACTATGGCATACTGAACCCACAGTGAAAAGTCGAAGAACCGAGCCAGGCCTTTTTGGCCCTGTTATCCTGAAATGCCCTAAAGATAAACGTTCCTGGCAAGTGCTCCAAGTGCGACGCTCAGAACTGCATGAAAACCTTTATGGTAATATTCGCAAAAAATGTCATAGTTTTTTCCCAATTTCGACCTAAAATTGCAGTTATTTCTTCTAAGCGCGAGTTATCAGTCTTGCATGTCTTATAAAAAATTACACTAAATTTCAGCCAAGTTTTACAAAGATACGATCCTCGCACTTAGAGTACTTCCCTTATTAGTTAAATTTAAATTCCTATTGATCCAATTAGCTTACATGTTCCAATACTTCTCATTTTCAGCTCATTTCCATTCCCTATTTTTTCTACCTCGCCTATTACTACTATCAGCCCGCTTTCGATGCCGAAGGCGATCGGTCTCTACATATTATTGCATTTGCCTGCGCCTTGACCACGGCCATTCTTAAAACCACCGTGTTCCCCGTGATATACCGTGCATACAAGCTGCTGCCATACCCGGAAGATCATGAGATGGGCAGTGATATGTTGACAATGGGAGTGTTCAGCATCATCTTCCCGTTGCTCCTGGCATGCGCCTTCCTGACGATCAGTGGAGGAAACAGCGGTGGCAGCAATTGTGGCGGCTGCGCGTCGTCAGGCAACGGTTGCAATTGCAGTGATGACAGCGATGACGAGGGGCCGAGAATGGTTGGAGTCTCAACGATTACATAAACTTTTTTGAAGGATTGGAGGAAAAAACGGTGATATTGCCGTCGAAGTATTGGTAAAAATAAACGCCTTGACTTGAAGCTTGAAAGGGCGGGCCCACATTTTGCGGGCAGCTAGAAGAAACAAAAAAATTCTGCAGACATGTCTGGAAATCAGCCAGCATTTTCTTACAACAGAAAATTCAAACGATGGATTGGGCAGCTAGTTGTTGCAAATTAAGTTTCCAGGTGGATAAGTGGCTTGAGTGGTTACCATAAGGTCATTTTTGAAGGCATTTTTGAAGGTTCAGAAACCATTTTTTGAAAACAAACTCTCATAACTTCGCACATGGTTCATTAATTCAATAGATTCGTATACTAATCTGTATCCTGAAATTGCCAACGCAAAATTTCTGTCATCTTCGGAGATTATGGTAGAAAAATCGTAATTCTAATCGGTAACCGTTGGCTGTCCGCAAGTGTTGCGACCGCAGAATAAGGGAAAGTGAAATCTGGTGCCCCATGTGAAAAGAGCACTTATCTTTTCAGACGCTGGGGCTATCACAAAGTACGGAGCGTCAGAAAAACGCCTATGATTTGACTTTTTTTTGCAAGTTCCAAAAATATCTTGTTTATACAAAGTTGCGCTGTACGAAGGTCGATATTGTCCTGAACCTGGTCCATGCGACCTTTGACGTCGTTCGCCATTGACAGGTTTTGTTCTATGGAAGTTTGTTGAGTAAAATTTCCATTGTATTTCGTCTGTCGGGAAAATAATGAGCATAATGTTGCTGTGCCCATTGCGTCGCTGAATTGAAAAGCAATTCGATTTTTCCAGGACAAAATTCATCTTCTCGGCGGCGATGCGATTTTCGATGCGACAGAGTGCTCATTATTTTCCCGACAGACTGATATCTTACAAGATAAAATTATACAAAAAAAAACATTTGTATCGCACAAAAATTTGTGCAAACCCCCGCAACCTAGACAGAAATCGAGCCTTCTCACCACACTAAATCCGCTTACAGGCCGCTCCTTTTTCTCATCACAAATTTCAGTCATAATTTGCCGCACACTTTTTCACACTCAAGCCGTTGTCGGCGCTTATGCGGATTCAATTTCTTCTAATTTTGGCCAACAAAAACTCCTATTATTTTCTGGGCAAGTCTTTCACAATGTCGTCGCTGAAGCCGGATGCCGCACGGCCAAACAGTTGCCTGTATGGCCCTGTAATGCGGAAATTTTATATTTTGATCCATTTTATATTGGCGTATTTTCTGTAAGTTGGCGTCTTTCGTAAGATCTTTGCTTTTTAGAGTATATTTCATTTTATTATCATTCTACGACGATGAATATATGCTCGCCGCAATGCCGATTATGTGCATGATCAGCTACGTTCTTTTCTACATTGGATTTTGTGTTCGACAACAACTATTCTGCGTCCCAATTTTTGTGCTTGATGTGAGTGTATTAGAGGGATTTATGGGTGCAGTAAAAGCCGGGATGCAAGCGGCAGCCCAAGATATTGAATGCAAAGACCCAAACATTGCATAGTGCAAAGCGAACTTCTGTTTTCGCACAGTGCATATCGTCAAAGTCGCTCCACCGACCTTACGCACGGACCCGTATGCTTCCAACGACAAAGCTTCAAAACTTTTTGAACTTTCGCCAGTTTTCCACCTAAAAATCTCCGTTTTTTCGGCAAAGCGCGAGCTAAAAATTTCGGAAAGGGAGGACTTCCTGGGTTATCGTCCGCCTTTTGTGAATTACGCTGATCTTTACAACACTTGGTTTCAGCTCATTTCCATTCCATACTTCATTCTTCTAACCGTTCACTATTACGAACCAGCGTTTGAAACCGCCTATTCAAGCGTCAGAACCTACCATATCGTCGCATTCTCTTGCGCCATCGCAACGGCCCTCCTGAAATGCACAGTGTTCCCTATAATCTACCGCGCCTACTCTCTGCTGCCCTACGACGACGACTTCGAAATGGGGATGGAGATGGCGATAATGTCGTTGGTCAGCATTCTGTTTCCGCTAGTTTTGGCGTGCGCTTTACTGGTGTTTAGCGACGGTGCGGATCCCAGTGGATGTGAGGGCTTTTGCCACAACAATCCCGCACCAGCACATGTTGATACTTGCTGTGCGCGTTGCGGGCCAAGAGAAGAGGAGCCGGAAGTAACGCCTGTTCCGGGATTCACGGGTCTGTCGACGCTTGTATAATATGTATTTTACATAGTTGTGCAGCATCTACAATGAAGAGAATCTATTTGTAAAATAAACCCGACCTCATAGAAAATATCAATGTATGTATGTAATAAAGCAAACTGTCAAACGTACAAATTAGAATAGTGTGTTTTTACCAGTTACGTACTATTCTTAAGATACTCAATAAGCGATGGTAATATATATTTTATAGACCAATATTTACACAAGTACCATAATCTGTTCCATCCTTCGTCTCTCGTGTAGGCGTGTTCTTGTCTTATGCTCGCTCTGACAATATCTCCTTTTCTTCACATCCCGTCGTATCGCAGGTTAGGATGTTCCACTGATGGCCCACAGGATATGTTAATCCAAACTCTCTGATGTCCTCAAATCTTCCAACCAAGCTGTATTTGTGACCCATGAAGAGAAGGGGGAGTATCTTGTGAGACTGAATAGTCTGGGTTTATATAAACATGGTCACAGAAATTCTTGGATTCCGTCCTCGCCCATGAGGCGTAAACCACTGCAAAAATCGATGTGCAGTGATTTGGAAAACCTAGTGCAGGGTTAATTTTAGGTCGGAAATGATTGTTAAAATTCGGTGCATTTTTTTAAGTCAGTAATGATTTTTCAAATTCACTGAACTTCGGTGAAAAAACGATCTCCTTCAATTCAACATGGGGCATTCCATCGCGGACCATCTTTGAGACGTTGTCCAAACTGAATCCATCGTGAAATCAAACTTCTCCCAATGCAGCATGTTGTTTTCCGGATGAAGAACTTGGCGAGTTCCAAGGGTTGGACCAGATTAACATCTTCTAGAACGACGTGATCAGCTCGGAATCCGGTTACCTCGGGGCCTCGATTTCTAATAGTAGTTACCAAAATTGGAGTCTCCTAAAATACGACATCATTGTGCAAAAACTGAACCTAAGCAATAATACAGTGCCGAAGAACAGTGGCAAATCCAGCAATTATCCTCATTTCGTCAGCTCATTCGTCTATTTCAGGTTGCTGGAGAAGAAATATACCACAATCGCCACTGCGCCCAAGTAAATCACGTTGGCTGCGGTTGCGAATGGCCCCAATTTCGAGAGCTTTCGAATGGAACAGAAGCCCAGCACCGAAATGCAGATGAAAACCATCCAGACGGACTTTGGAAATACGATACCAACATTCTCCCGGAAGAAATCCTCCAAATTGTCCGCCATGAAGACGAAATACACACAACAGAAGCCGAGTTGAGCGATGAAAACATTGCAGTTGACGAGTTGTTTGAAGAAATATCCGCGATGTCTGATATACGACGGGTCCGCTTCGAACGCACCTCGCATAATACTATTTCCATAATCGATTCCATCTCGGCCGTTTCTGGAAAGCAAATATTTTAGGTGTCTGCCGACCAACAAATATTTTTTCTGCTAAATTTATCGTTAGTTTTCCTTGAAGAAGCCTGATACTAAACAAGGTCGAAAATTACACTGAAAAGCGACAAAACTTCGCAAAAAAGATAAAAAAGCCAGCAAAAAGAGTCTGACAAGGGAAGTCACTTAAATCACGGATCGATTTTGCGAAACGGCTGATACAGCGATGGAAAGAGTGGGACGGTGATATCCAATCTTAAAACCGCTACCTCCACCGGCCTCTGGGAGCCGAGATAATCGACCAACAAGTTTGGCCAAATTCCCTCCGAAAAGGTCTCCCTTCCAAAAGCAAAGGGAGAGCGACCTGAATGGTCCGGTGGTCTGGAAGTGCGCTTCCAGGCCTTCGCCTTTTGAGGTTCGAGTCCGCACGGGTTCGGACTTATATTAAAAAATTTACGAAACTGTTGCTGTAATCCACCAGAGTTACAGGTAAAATAAATTTTCTAGTTTTTCCATATTTTACGTCGATTTGAACTTTATAATTCAAACAGAGTGAAATTTCATCGCAAAATATGGAAAAATAGAAAATTTTATTTTACCAGTACATATATTTGCTGGATTACAGAGAGTTTGATAAATTATCTACAAGTTCGAACCCATGCGGACTCGAACCTGAAAAGGCAAAGGCCCGGAAGCGCGCTTCCAGACCACCGGACCATTCGGTTCGTTGCCTTCTTTTTTTCGAAAAGCAGAGCTTTTCGGGGCAATCTTTTTTCGGCCAAACTTGTTGGTCGATTATCTCGGCTCCCAGAGGCCGGTGGAGGTAGCGGTTTTTAAATTGGATATCCCCATTCCACCCTCTATATTGCCGTAACAGTCGTTTTTAAAAATCGATCCGTGACTTAAGTGACTTCCCTTGTGAGTCAAACAAATCTAATTAGCGAGGATCCGATGCGCGACGAGATCCTACGCACGGAAGACGACACATCAGATGCGGGATCCAAACCACAACGCAAACGAAGCCGGCGAGAAAACGATCCCACAATTGAAAACCGTCGGAAACGTGGTGAATCCCAGCAATACTGAATGAGGAGAATGTGAGCTCCTCTGCACGTGTTTTGCCATCAGAGATAAGGTCTGGCTTCCCATTCAAACTGCTCTTCGTCTTGAACAGCGAAATCCGTCGGTGGCTGGACCAGTTGCCATGTTCTTTGAGGACCAAATTGAAGCGAATTTGAACGTTGAGTTGGGTTTCAGCGACGATCAGGCATGTTTTTCTTGTTGTTCTCGAAATTTAGGTATGTAAGTTGAAAAAGAATCAGAAAAGTTTGTTGATGTTCTAGCCTTGAGCTTTTGAAGTTTAATAAAAGTGAAAATCAGCCATTAGTGACCTAGAAATTACTGGATTTGGCAATAAATCTCAAGATTCAAAAACAGCTCGAGGAAGAGGCCTTGGCTCTAAATCAATGTTATTCGATCAAATCGCTGCACATCGTTTTTTGCAGTGGTTTACGCCTCATCGGCGAAGATCGAATCCAAGAACTTCTGTGACTATATACGTTTATATATGCACAGATTATCTTATCAACTCTCAGGTATGGGCGGAGACAGGTAAAGTCGTACACGACATGATAAGGTACCAATAACATTTTGAGGTTAGTGCAGTACCCATTACATTACGTTTCTCTGCTGCCCTCACAACCACGACGTCGCATTGCTCCGGCGTCTACGTCGTTTTATTGTAAACTGATTAAGAATTAAGAGTCGTCACATGCTGCTCTTCCAAATCATCGTGTACCACTATGTCCACCCGATCATGTGCGTTGGCGGGAATTTTGCGATTTCGGTGATTACGGTATACACGATCCTTGATGCCACAGCTCTCCGATTCGACTACGGTCTGAGTGTAGTTGACGTGTGATTTGGCTGCCACTCCCTAAAGGTGGAGCCAGCCGAATCCGGTACCCTGCCAAGACAATTCCACGGAGGATGGTGTTGTCGTCTTCGAAATTGATGCCATGAATATGTATACTCATACACCACTAGAATTGCCCCGAGTGGTGTCGTCGGGACAATTACGTCTCGCGTACCGACGGGGATGAACTCTGGTTCCATGCCGTAATTCTCCTGTCGGTTGAACCCCAATGGAAGGATACCATTGTTGTAGCATACCACACATTCTACGCCACCTCCATCAACCATTCTTCGAATCATTACGGTCTCTGTACCAATCATACGATGGAAAACAGGAAGATTACCATTTATGTCGCTGAGTCCCATCTCCAGAGAGTGGTCGCTGCGACCTCGTCGCCAATTACGAGTGTGCCCACCCTGCCTGGGTTCGCCACCCTAAATAGTTGTTCCCAGCGGTCTGAGGCTGAGACAAAGTTGTAACTTACGTAGGATTTTAAATGTACAGTATGATTAGGTTTCCTACCAAACTGCTGGTTTAACTTTGTCTCGAGCTTCTTCCTTCGCGTATGTCGTTTGGCTGATTTGCCTTGGGTTATCTCTGGAGCTATTGTCCATCTATACAGGATCATCGGCAGCTTTTTTTTGGCTTGTCCTTGACGATTTTATCGACGTGTTCCTGGACGACCTTACCGCTAGCCCAAATTCGAGGGCCTTGATCTACCTCATCAAGTAAGGGCGTTCAAGCCCTCGCTGGCAGACATCTTACCTTTCAGCCAACATTTAGAGGTCGTAAGGGCGATCAGGAAGATCACCTTCTCCACAGTGCTTGATGAACTCTTCTCTGTGCATCTTAAAAACAAGAAAAAATTAAACAGTATTAAAAACGGGTAACAAAAACCAAAAACTAAAAATGCCACCTCCCATCGAGGTTTGACCGCTCTATTAATGACTTTCTGAATATTTTTAAGGCGTGGTTTGAGCCTCCAAAATCGGCGTTCTTTTGATTATGCAAAAAGGCGTTCGATGGCTTTGGGTGGTCTAGGAAATTTTCTGTCATTCTCTATCTCAACCGTTTGTTGCGTTGGCATGGTCTTGATCCTGCCGCTTCATTTGAGCAGATAAAACAATATTTTAAGCATTTTCAAACTAATTTTATTTTAAAAAACACATGTAATTTGTGGCCCCAACAAGGGCCTTTTGTGGTCATTGCCAAATCCGTTACTTATCATTTTCCGTATGCTCCAAAGGGTTGTAAACAGCCGCCCTTTCAAAGCCGTTGTAAGCGCTGTTTTCCGGTTCTTGATCATTAATTCCGCTCAGACTTTATTTAGTTTTCGTCTCGGCCGTACTTGGGCCTAATTTGACCAGGAATCCCCTCCTTGCCCTTGTAAAACGATATTACAGCAGTGCACTTTTTTGTGTACACAACAAGACTTGACTGCATTCTACTCGCGTTGAAGTCATCTCGGTCTCCGACTAAATAGGATTTTGCCGACTGTCTTCTTTTGTCCATACCACCCAAAGGCAATGTGCGCATTTTGAAGAGTGCATTTTTAAGGTCGGCTGCGTTGGCGATAGGGAAATTTATTGGGTCCATAGGGCTCGGAAGGGCACTGCAGATGTGGTATAGCACCATTTTTCAGAGGGCTTGTAAAATCCGGACATGGCTTATGGGCCGGGCCAATGGCGTGTTAGAAAATTTTCAAAGCCCTACCCGGCCCTAAATTTTTTTTTTAATTTCACTTTTTTCCATTTGCCTAAATTTACTCCGAAATGTCTGTCATGGTCCCTTCTTTGTAAGAAATATTCAACACTCTTCATCTACCACCTTCAATTACCATCTTTCTATGATTTCTAGCTACGTCTAGCCGTCGCAAAGCGATGATGGTCGATTCCAAGGCCCGAGTACCAGACACTATTTCCTCGACAGGCTGGTGTCTCAGCTGCCATTGCAGTAAAAATTTTCAGGAATGATAATGTCTGCGCAGAATTTTAAACAAATCTGAGCGTCGCACTCCAAGCACTTCCCTCGGAGACAAAAGAAAGAAGGCATTCTTGATCGTTCCCGACACATAAACAAACCCGAAGAAAGCCTCATAAATACGTTGTTTTTATGGATTGGAGAATGATGTATCAATAGGAATAATAGTCATAAAATTTCAAATGGATTCGTTTTGAATTTGAAATTTCCGCATGTGCGAAAATCGGAAATTTTAAGTCGAAAGTTTTTTGTTTTATACTTACCTCAAAACATTTTGAGAGCGGCCTTGGACAGTGAAACCTCTCTAGACAAACCTTGATGCGTCAAATCCTCTTTATAGCTACGTGTATCCAAGGTCCCGTGAGCCAGTTCTAGACCCAAATGGACCTCCGTACAACTAGACTTTACCGAGTAATTATATTTCGGTGCATTGGGTTGATTTCCCTGGCCGATTGTCTAAGTTCTGCACTTTTTTTGATTTCCCGAAAAGCTTCGGTAAAATCCCTTTACGTTCTAAGAACAAGCTTGAGGCAACCACTTTTGACATCTAGCCGCAAGTTGACCCGACTTCCTGCAACCATATTGTCGAGAGGCCCGGGGGACAACCACACGATAAGACGAGAAGCTCGAGTTCAAGTGATTTATTGAGTGAAAAGCGGCCCTTATATAGGGGAATCCCACGTAGGAAAGTACAATCAAATTTGAATAATAAATGATGATTTCCGTTGGAATTCGGGCTCGAAGTTCGGTCGTTACGCCTCACATATATAATCGAACTCTTCGCAGGTATGTCATAAATTCCACAGTAAATATATATGTTCCCCAACATAGTGCATGTCGCGGAACTCACTCCAGCGACTTTGCGAATGGACTAGCTGTACTCTCATGTCATATACAGCTTTTTTCCGAACTGTTTTTTTGCAAGAAAAATCGAAAGAAATATTCATTTTTTTGACCGACCCTGTACAAAGGATGAGCCAAAATTTTTACTGTAGAAAAAGCCATTATCGATACCAAGCAAAAAATCCCATTCATTTGCTAACTTTAAGGCCATTACGACCCAATAAGGACCAGCTTCATTGACGTTTCGACACTCTGTTCGGCGGCTTAATGACATAAAGCGCCTTTATTTGGATGCTTTTCCGGGGAAATTCCAAATATAAAAGACGCCCGGAGGAGGAAGGGATTTTGTTTTGGTTCGTTTCCGTTCCTCTTCGAACTGTTGCTTAAAATTTTGTTTTTGGTTTTGAATTTCAAAATGTTTTTTGAATTTCTATGTGTCCATTGTTAGTCTTTGGCCCTTCTAATGGAATTTTAAAAAAAATTTTTGTATTCTTAATGTGGTTATTTTTGGGGTTTTTAGACTTTTAAAATGTGAAGGGAACTGTTTGAAAGGCGACGCAGAGATTTATTAATTAGATTTTTTAAATCATGCACACGCGTCGGATATGTGGCGTGTATAAATTCGTGAAAGTTTTAGCCCACGTGTTGCAGGCGGAGCCGAGATATTCAACGGTCTTTTTTGCCGAGAGAGTATGCAAAAGGCGGAGAGCGGCCAGAGACAGTATAAACACTTTTTCGCCGTTTCTTTGCCAGTTTGGAGCGGAAAAATAGATTTTTTTTGCGGAAACATTACCTCTACAGAAGAAATAAGTATGAAACTTTTCATGTCAAAATTTTACAAAAAGTACTGGTAAAAGTTCCTTATTTTGGCCACAACTTATAACTTTGCGGAAACTGGTCGGAATTAGCCCAAATTTAGCGTGCACGCTCAATTCGTCGTTGTCAATGCCCGGACAGTAGATTTAGTTAGCAAGGTACCTTCTTTTTTACGTACCACCTTACCCTGCAAAAACGGCTGCAGCCTGTGATTTTACACTTTATACGATGTAACATGTCCGGAACTAAACTTATTGCCTCCGTATGGAACTAAATGAGTCGTCATAGCCTTTGTAGGTACCCTTAAAACTATAGAGTTATTATAGTAATTCAGTTCCAGCTAGGTCGAAGCGTTTTTTCTTAACTTTAGTGCCCAAGCTTGGGCGGAGTTTGCGGAGTACCTTTGTTGTGGCCAAAATAAGGAACTTTTTCCAAAGTATTGAATTTTTGCTTACTTTCGACCTAAAAATATCGGTTGTTCTTGGAATGCAATCTTTTGGCCGAGAGAATACGCGAAAGGCGGAGAGCGAACAAGGACAATAAAACACTTTTTGGCCATACCTTTGCCAGTTCCGTGCGAAAAAAATTGATTTTTTGTGGAACCAATACCCTCTACGGTAGAAGTAAGTACGAAACTTTTAATGCCGAAATTAGGCAAAGGGTGTCAAATTTTTGCACAGCTTTCCATCTAAAAATCTCGTGTGTTTCTGCAAAGCACGAGCCAGAAATCTCTCATATATCATAGAAAACATTATCCAAAACTATGTCAAGTTTCATCAAAATCTAAGCGTCGCACTTGGCGTACTTCCCTTGTAAATTTGTCTCATCCGCACGGAGTTTGCACTCTGGTTCTCTAGACCTTTGTAGGATAAATTTCATTATACGTAGCGACCAAAGATTCATTTCTTATAAAAAATTTATTAATTTTTTATAGACAAAAAATATTTTTTCCCAATTTATAGAAGCAACTTGCACGTTTCCCAAATCTCCTCCTTTCAGATTCAGACCTTTTTTGTAGCATCATCCACCCAAAAAACACAAAATTTCATCAAGCGTAAAAAAGAGAAAACAACAAAAAACTTGGACTTTATCAAGTACTATTTATTGGGGCATTCGTCTTTCAGAGGAAACCAAAAAGTTCCGGGAATTAAAAATATGTTATTCTGAAAGTTTTATGAACTTCCTTCCTACTAGTCGATTTTTAGTGCATCTTCTTTTTTTGATGATTATTCAAAGAGATGTAGCTTTATTTCAATCGGCAAGGACAATGTTTCTACACACAAAAGATTTTTTTTGTGCAAATTGGCCAGAAATATGTAAATCAATCTGTCGGGAAAATAATGAGCATAATCTGTATAGCTGCGCTGATCGCGTCGCTGAAGTGAAAAGCGTTTTTTTTGCTTCGACACAACTCATTTTCAAGGCGGCGATCCGATTTTCTATCTGATAGAGTGCCCATTATTTTCCCGACAGACTGATAACAACATAAGAATTTGTCAGTTTCAAGATATTCTCATTTTCTTTGCTGCCGGGGCAGCGGCGTAGCAGGGTATTCGTATCTTTACAAAGAAAACTTTTTACACGATAACCCGCTCCTCTGTGCTCATTATTTTCCCGACAAACCGCTACCATAAAGCCTTTCTCTCTTTCCCACCGATCTCCGCGTTTCGCGTACTCTCTCGGCCGCAAAGCTCGTTGAATATCTCGGCTGCTACTGCAATCTACTCAATTTTTTCAGCCAACCCTTATTCTACCGTAGTTTACTTCACTTTTCCTCTCCCTTGAAGGGTCCCAAAAGGCCAATTGTTTGTTTCTGATGTTGTTGTTGACTTGGAAAATTTTATGTATTGTTATAAATTTTTTTATGAAAACCCCCTTTTATGGACAGAACTCAATTTGTCTGAGACGCGCAGAAAACACTGTTTTGGATGCAAAATCGCGGTGGGAGGTTACTATTAAAAACGGACTGGACTTGAAGCGAAAATAAGGGATAATTTGAGTTCAGCACGGCAAAATAGAGCAGACCGGAGAGGACGGTTGACTTTGTTGTCGGTGGTAACATCAATTTCTGAATATCCGCACCGCTCTCGGGAAAATGAATTGTGTCGCGGCAAAATCAAATTGCTTCTCACTTTTGCGACACGATCGGCGCAGCGGCTCATTATTTTCCCGACAGACTGATAAATATTACATTTTCAACTCGTACTTTGCAGTGGCGGCCGAGAGATTCAACCGTTTTCGCCGCCGAGAGAGCACGCGAAACACGGAGAGTGGCCAATGAAAAACTTGGTTTTTGACCATTCCTCTGAATTTTCCTCGGGTAAACTTGCGAAAACGTTCCTGTAGCTTTGGTAATTTGGAGTAAAGACATGCAGAGAATAATAAGACTTTCTGAATAATGTAATAAGAGCTATGTTTGAAGGTTGAAACTGTTCATACATAAATGTTCCAAAAAAATGTTGAATTGTCGCCAAAGTCAGGCCTAAATATTTTGCTTGTTTCGGCAAATCGAGCATGGAATTTTGCGCATGTCTTGGAGGAAATTAGTCTAATTTTGTGCCAAATTTCATTTATAGAATAAAAATTTGAACTTCGTCTGTTAGAGAACCCTGGCACTGAAGGTTCACCTTTTGTTTAATCCCATAATTACCGTTAAATTTAGCCATATATGCCTGTTAACAACAATATTTATAAGAGAGTTTTTTACAAACTGAAGCTTCCCTACAAGGGGCCCGGACATTGTTGCAACGACCATCACCAAATTTCTTGAAACTTGGCCAGTAGAAGGGCCTGAGCATGCTGATGAAAAGCGTCAAACGTTTTCCCAAAATTTGCATTATTTCGGGATTACTGTAACATTTTGTGTTTTATAAAGCGGCCGTTGTCGTGAACCAGGTGATCGCCCTACGGGTCCGAAACTTCTTGTCTGTATGTTTTCGAACATGGTCAACATTTTTCTAATTGAAACTTTTTTTGTATCTTTTCGTCTTTCGGTA